GGGGGGGGGGGGGGGGGGGGGGGGGGCCGAGTGGGAGGGAGGGAGGGACGGACGAACGGGCGGATGGATGGAGGGATGAAGGGACGGACAGAAGGAGGGAGGAAGAAGAGGAGGGCAGGAGGAAGGAAGGAAAGAATTCGAACAATAATTGGATGGTAATTCTTTCTTCATATTGGGTGAAACAGGCATATTTCAAGAGAGATGAAATTACAAAGGTAAAAATAGTAAAATACAAATAATTGGATTGATGGTAATTTAATATTTATGGTAATTCTTTCTTCTGTTGGATGAAACAGGCATATACCAGAACCTTGGGACAAGAGCTGAAGTTACGAAAGCAGGCAGAAGCAATATCGTGGACAATGAGGGAGCTGGGAAAGGACGCGCTCCAGAAACATTTTGACATCACCTTGGCTTTCAATCTGATTCAAAAGCAGGTAAAATGGGGTTAAAAAAAAAAAGAAAAAAAGAGGAGGATTTAAAAAAAAAGAAAAAGAAAAAAAAAGGATAATGTGTAATCACTAATCCATAATGGGGGCTGGATAACGATGACAATGACGGTATTATGTCGTGCCGTCATTCAGGCCCTTGGAACGTACTACCAGCAGGTTTGAACTCTGACGGCAACTCCAAAAGGAGGTGTGATCACTCTGATCATGAGTCTGATGTAATTGTAAACTTGTTAACTGAAGAGAATCCACTTCTACTGAATATCATGGAGAAGCATGCCAATGAACTTGAGAGGAGCTATTGAAAAAAAAGAGTGCCCATGAGGCCGCGCGAAAAGGATGCTATAGAGTTCAGCACCAGAAGCAGTGTGCTTGCTTACCCAAATGCCTTTCAAAAAGCTCAAAAAAAAAAAGAAAAAAGGTCATTAACACTCCTTATTGCGCTGCCGCCATGTCCATTCTTGGCAGAATCAGTCCGGTCTCTCCTCCACCGGTAAATCACTAAAGTTCAACGCTTCTCTTCATTATTGCCGAGAGACCCCGAGCAGGTGGCATTTCTTTTTTCTTTTTTTTTTTTTCTTTTTTTTTTTAAACAGGGCCTTATGGTCCTGGCTCCGTTCTATTCTGGGGAGCATCAGTCCGGTTCCTATTCCACCGGCAAGTCGGAATATACATTATATTGAAATTCACGCACGCTTCCTTTTGTTTGGCCGAAGGACCCCTCCCTGATCAGCATTGATTGCTCCACCTTGGTGGAGGATTGACTGTCAGCTTGCCATGTCCCTCTCTTTCCTCTCAGATCTGGAGGCCAGATCTGCCAAATAGTACTATGCGACCTAGAAAGAGCTCATCCTTTGTCCCTGCTGGCCTGCGTCCTCCCCACTCGAGCAGGCGGCATTTCTTACTTCCTTTTTGAAAGGATTTACCTCCTGTCACCTCTAGCTGCTACCTTCTCAGTGACTTTCCCATGTTCAACGAACCCATCACCTGACCCTGCCTTCTATGCTCTTTACGCTGCTTTTTGCTGGCCTGGCTTTTTCTCAGTCCTTTGTAGGTTGTCGGATGGGCTTGTCATAGCTGGAAACAGCCTCTCTTTATTTTTTTACGGAGAGCTGTGGGAGAGATCTCGTGGATTAGCAACTTAGTTACTCTAGTAATTCCTACCTCACATGGGTGCCATCTTGGAAGTACTGACCCTGGTGTTTCATCCGTTTGCCGCCACCCTGTTTACTCCTGCCCAAACTAGCTCAGCTCAACCAGCGCATTCGGTGGTGGGGAGAACATGTCTAGGAAGTCGGTGGGTGGCCTCAGTTGTATCGATGCTGCAATCTTCATCCAGTCCCTGAAGTCCCAACTTGTAGTCCCACTTGATTGGCCGCTGTTCTGGTGTCTGCCCACTCTCCCATCAGATTTTTCCTATCCATCCACCCTGTTGACCCCCTAACCATTCTTCTGCTGCGAATTCCTTGATAGTTTTTTGTAATGTCCACATATTATACAGATCCAATTTTTATTTCTGTTATGTGCCACTTTTGTCTGTTTTGGCAAACAAAAGCACTCCTTTTTTTTCCTTTTTTTTTTTTTTTTTTGGACAAATGCTCCAGTCTATTCGTGGGGAGCAGCACGTGCTGGGAACCGGGCCCAGCGTCCCATATGGAGTTGCACAAGTCATTTGAGATGCCGGGGCCATTACCCGGCTTCGGCTGAGAATCAATCTGAGAACTGTTGAAGAAATTCGAGAGAATTAAATCCTCCCGATGTTACGGAGTCATTTTGCCGAGTTCCCCTTCAACATGGTTATCGCAAGCGCCTTAGTATACTCTACTTGTTCACCTGTGTTGGTTTCGGGTACGAGTTAGGAATAAGTAAAACGGTGAGGGCCCCTAAAAGAGGCCACTCGATAAGACACTCAGATTGTCAAATAATGGAGCACAAATTTGTAACATATGTGTTTGCCTTTTTTGGGTGGTTTCAACAAGTTTTTTGTTGGTTCTTACATCTCTTTCAAGATGAATAAATAGAAAACTTGGTAAGTAAATAAAATACAATCGATTATCTACCCAAAATGAAATAAAGTCCCAAAGACCTATGATGGTAATAAATATGGTAAACCCGATTAACATAATAAAAGCATACATGCATATGCCAAAGGAGTAGGATATGTAACAAGATCGAAGTGGAAACATTTGCTAAAAGTATAGTTGGAATTAAAAAAGCAGCAGGAATCTGTTGAAGAAGCCAATGTGCCAATCTTTCTCTATTAGCTTTCATTCGTTTTCACCTTTTTCAACAACAAAGAGAATCTCAAGATGTTCAATGTAACTAGAAAAGCTGCAAAAAAGAACATAATAGGTCCGGAAGTGTACACTTCTGATAACTGCTGGCCAGCAGTCCTGTCAGGGTGTTTTCTTTTCTTAGGTCAGTGAACTCTTCTTGTCCAAATTTTTTTATCTTTTTTTCCCACAGGCCCCTTCTATTCTGGGGGGCAACAGTCTGGTTGCTTATCATCGGCAAGCATGTTTGTACATCCAAGAAAAAAGTGGAAGAATATGAGTGAAAGAGTTAGCCTCTCTCGCGCGGCCCTAGCCGCCTACAAGGGGAGACCTGCTACAGGGCATCCCTGCCCCCCAATCCCTGAGGGGGGGGGGCTGCCCTGCTGGTCGGGAAGCTTACTAGTAGCACCCAGTCACACAGCAGGGCCGCCTCCCGGATGACAGGATGGGAGGGGGGGTCCCCTAGCAGCTCCTCAGGCCGCATAACACCTATGTTTGCCTGTCACTGTCTGATGCAGCATCTTATCCAACCCCTATTACCCTTTCTTCTACCTGAGCCTTATTCGCGCCATTTATACCTATTCCGGGCCTTATGTTGTCCTAATATCTCACACCCTCTATTTCATATGTACATCTCTTCAACCACAGGGCCCACAGGACTGAATGTCTCCCTAGCTCTTTTTTTTTTTTTTTTTTTTTTTTTTTTTAAAAAAAAAACCCCCTTTTTGGCGGGGTCTTCTTTTCCATTGTGGGGAGCATCAGTCCGGTTCCTATTCCACCGGCAAGTCAGAATAAAATGTTAAATCATAAATTCACGCACGCTTCCTTCCGTTTGGCCGAAGGACCCCTGATCAGCATTGATTGCTCCACCTTGGTGGAGGATTGACTGTCAGCTTGCCATGTCCCTCTCTTTCCTCTCAGATCTNGCAACACCTGCTGGAAACCGGGTCCAGCGTCCCATAGATACAACCATATCCTCCCAAATTGGCACGAACTGAGAACCGGGCCCAGCGTCCCATAACGAGCATGTTCAGAAAACTCGTCAGAGAATTTCATGAAAAATGAGTCTAAGAACCTACTGGAGGAATCCAATTGGCCTAAGAATGGAACTTGGAAATTGAGATAGAGCTCAAAGAAATTGAAGTTATTCCCGACCTAGACAACTTCATGATTGAGCAAATTTCAGAAACAACCCAGAAAGACCCCCATCAATCCACTTAACCTCACTCCGGCAAGACTGACTGCAGCGGAGCCACCATCTCTGCTGTTGCTATACCATACTCCCATCCGACCAGCAAGCCCCTTCACGGGTAGGACGCGTGATAACCCACCATCTTCTCCCACTCATCTTCATTTAAGATCATTTGAGGTACCGGGACCATTACCCGGCTTCAGCTGAGAATAGACTTCTTTTTTAAACTAAGGACACTTGCTGTAGTTCAGGAAGCATATAGACCGGGATCCTACAAATGCTCCAGAACCCTAGAAATCCCTAACAAACCTTTCCAAGGCTCTCCAACGCTATCTTACTGCCTGCCGAGCTCTTCCAGGTCTCACACCCCCACCACTTGCTGGGTTACAGGGCGACACAACTCGCCCCAGCTCCGACCAGCAGCAACCCATGGTTGTCCCGTGGAATGCTCGCCCCAAAGCATCCCCAGATCTCTCTACCAGGCCTCACGCTCCTGCAACAGCAGGTCACAGGGCAACCCCCAGCACCGGCCAGCGTCGTTCTGGCGTTGAACAACCTCAGATCACCGAGTGTAACAGCGTAGGATCACCTAAGAAAAATTGCCAGGAGTCCACAAAGTCATAAACCATTTATGAGACCCCGGCCAGACCCAAACTAAGAACATACAAGGAAACCACCCACAATCCACCTCCTTCCCCGCACTGCAGAGGGAAGACTACAGCCCAGGTAGTCAGTCCTCGTACCAGAACTCGCCCGGTATCATACCCCCATGCTAGGGTGACAGAGCCCCACCAACTGCCCCAGAACCGACCAAAACTAGTTCTGACGGATAGGAAGTGTCTTCCTCCCTCGACAGCTTCCTTAGCTGCACAGCCCCGTCGGTTACAGGGTCACCGCCCCGGCAACAGCTATGTTGAGCAAGATGGTTATGCCTTCCACCCTCGGCATAGCTCCAATAGTCTCGAGCTCCCCCTGGTTACAGAGCAACTGCTCCAGCACCGACCATTGTCGCCCCACCCCGCCCTTCTAATAGACTGACCACCCTGGACACTAAACCATCCTCTGCCCACGCCTCCCCTTGCTAAAAGCCATCCTTCCCCTTCCTGGGTACTGAGACACTTTTCGAGAGAAAAATAAGAACAGAGATACCAGGGACATCAACAAAAGGACTACGAAAATATGAACATACCAGCACCTACTGTTCCCACAGGGAGAGGGGAAGAGAGGGGAAAATACAGCACTCTCTCCCTCTGGGGACTTCAGCGCCTGTTGAGGCCTCAATGACTTATAAAAGGGATCACAAGAGCCAAAAAGGATTACTCCCCGCCCTCAAAGCAACCCTCTGTTTGTTTGCTGCCTCCGCGGGAAGGCACCCCCTCACCTCCCCGCCCCAGTTCCAAACAGCCCCCAGAATACCCCTCCCGCTCCCTTAGCTGCATACAATACCCCCCTAGAGTATGCCCCGACAGAGCAAAAGATACCCCTAACCTTCCTGCCCCGCCCCCTCCAAGCGGAACAGCCATCTCAACTCTCACCCTGCTAAAATCAGCACCCCTTGTCTTCTCTCCCCAACCGCCATCACTGATTCGGCCCAGAAATCAGCGTGGCTCAAGGGAGGACAAACCCACGACACCGTCCCTGCCCTCTCAAGGATCACACCACCCACCTTGTGTAATCCTCGCAGGGAGGGACTCCAGCCCTAGGGGAGATATCCACTCCAGCACCTCTGACCCCTATCTAATGACAACATCTCAGATTGAGACCTCAAAGTGCTAAGACTAATTGCTAGAGAAACCTAATTAGCATCGACATCAGAAAACCCACTGGGATAACGAGTGAGATCAGGAATAAGAGAAATCGCACAGACAACAATTCAAGCATCCAAGGGTTTGAATCGTGAATTTTGAGCATCAAAGTCGGAAATTAAAAAGAGAATACGATTTGATATACGATTTGAAAATCCAAGTGACAAAAACACAATAACGAATCACTTCTGCTGTCTAAGCGGACTTTCGAGTCAGACTTCCAGAACCCAAAGTTCAAGAAAACGATCAGACCGTAATTCAGGAGATGTCAATCAGAAGAACCTTTTCATAAGAACATCTAAGATTATGGTTCTGAAAAACAAACCGATAACACTAATATTGAATCATCATCATTTTGATAACCATCAAAGATAGCACCATAGGGAAAAAAGGAAACAGGTAATACAACCATCGCGATACAACCATATCTGAAATCAGGATCTAGACTTCAAGAATAAAAGACTAAACGGTATTGAACCAGAATTGAACTAAACAAGATAACTGAGAATAACATCGTTAAGAAACTAATCAAGGCTATCACAGAATCACCGCAACAAATGGAGAGGAAGAACACCACAAACCTTCGACATCCCTAAAAGCACCCCCCCTCTCTCCAAACCTCACCTCCTCCCTCATCGGCTTTCCAGCAACTTGGCCACCTGTGGTTGACGCATATTCAACCATCCAAAAAAAACGAACGATGAAGATAACAGGACCGCAGCCCGGAGTATTCCAAAACCGCGTCGCAAGACAAAAACCGCTGAGCCTGCCAGCCGCCCCTCGCAGGTAGCCTGAAGAGATGAAGGGGTGTCATTATCGCCGACGTCGCCCATCTCCCACTCCTTGTGATCCTCTTCCACTGATCCACTCTTCCTCCTCTCCGATGAGACCCTGTTTAAGCAGAGTGGCGGCGTGGGGTGGACATAGCGGTAGACTCAAGGTAAGGTAGTCAGAGGGACTGAGCGGTGGTGGAGACGGGAGTGCAGCCAGTGGCAGGGCCTTGTGGCCATGCTGTGGCTTGCGCTTGGTAGGATATGGTGGCTGTGCACGCAGAGTGCCAGCATTGTTACAATTTTGGAATAGCAAGCGGCTCGCTCGCTCCTTCTCCATCGCTGCTTCGTCCAAGTGTCGTGTGTGCTGAAGACTAAGTATGGATACTCAGTTGTGTGCATGACTTTGGTTGCAAGTGTCTATGGATGCTGAATGCTTCACTAATACGAAGTCTATGGATGTATGGATGGTTGAGGATTGGGTGATTGTCCTTGTCATGCTTGTGCGCATGGGTGCACACCTGGGGTAATTGGGTTTCGGATGACTGCATGTGTGTTGCTGCCCTTTTCCCCCGACTATGTGCCGATCTCGCTCGGCGCGTGAGCGAGATCGGCGCCGGCCTTTATCTTCCCTTCTTTCCTTGCTCACAAGTGCCACGTGTCAACCTCCCGGTCCACCTGTGAGTAGGCTCGGGCAACCAGGGACATCGGGTGTGGAGACTTAGTCGTTCCACCCGCTCGCCCTGCCTCCCAGCCATTGGCGGTTTGTCAGGGTGGCAATTTTGATTGGAGTTGTCATGCATAATCCACTCGCAATTTAAGAGGAGGTCGGGTCTGTGAGGCACAAGTTGAGAATTTTATGGAGTCGAGGCTTGCCAACTTCAGTGTTAGTGCGGGTAACTGCCCTTGCTCGAACCTTACATCGCTCCACCATAGCCACCTACCTCCTTTTTCCGGTCGCAGACAAAGACAGTCATTACTGCGATGTGGACGTGAGGAGGGCGCTATTGCGGACCGATCGGATGCACTTCTACAACCCGTCCAAGGTGTGTCATATACTGGGGTACGAGAGGTCCATCCGGCTCCCGGATCTCTCCCGTAATGCAGGAGCTCTTCCAACGAACTTCCAGACCTGGGTGCCTCCCCTCCCACCCCCCTCGGATAACCAGGATTTGGGTCGATCTGACGGGCTTTGTGGGCCCGACTCGGATGCATAAAGCATCCTTCTCGGCCTTGGCCCCCACAGAAAGGGCGGCGTGAACCTGATTCATTCCTAATGCGGAGTTTTTGCATTTAATGCATTTAATGCTGAAGTACGAGTGAGTTTGCATTTTTGTCCCTAAGTTCGGTGGCAGGGTTTTGCGGATATCCTGCCCCTCTTTGTCATCTAATCTCTGTAATTTGCAAGTGTCCCTGGTGGTTCAACCCCCCCCCCAAAATCCTCGGCCACGCCCCATTTACTCTGATCGGTGATTCCATGGGTACAAGACGCTGCGCGGGGTGTGAGGTTGCATATCACAAGCCCGAGACAGTATACAATCCTTAACACCTGTTGAGAACCCGACGAACATATCTGGGCTCTTTTGGATCATGAACAAAGATTGGAGCCCAAAGACAGGCCGAGGATCTCCAGCTGGAGACAGCGAACCCCCTCAACCTTATTGGACTGCTCTACTCAGAATCTGGAGAGAAATTATGCCTGACAAGATATGCAAGCCCAGATCCAAGGAAGAAATGCTGAGACAGCCCCTCTTTGGGAACTCGAGTATTCGTGATGACAGGGGCCATCGATGGTCCCTAGCCCCAAAGGATAACCGTTGGCTGTCATGGGTGAATCATGGGATATGGAACATAACCCGTATATGGGACGAGGGAAAAAGAGACTGGCTTGAAGAGAATGATCCCTAATTATCCTGAAAGGATGTCACCACTGCAAAGAGAATTTAGAAGAGATGATCAGAAGTATCCCCGAAAGCTGGAAAGAACTGAAAGAAGAGTTTTCGTCGAAGTCGGGAGACTGGGGGTGGAAATCAAAGAAACCGTCCCAAAGCGGGCCTACCAGTTCTCTTATAGAAAACAAGCAGGCAGCTTTGTAGCAGCATTCATAGCCTTCCCTATCTGCTACTCCAAACTCCAACGCTGTGGCAATCCTTTTTTTTTATTTTTTTTTATAGAGAAATAGCTGTCGCTTTGAATACTTTCTTCGCTTTTGAATACAATTCGATGGCAAGCCGGATTCTCTTCTCTGACCGTTATACTCGGACAAACTGTGGGTTTCATGGTTGCAATCAGCACTCGAATATAATAGAGACACACGGGCAATAAAAAATAAACAAGAAAAAAAGAAAACAAGTACCTGAAACACTGGTTCACTGCCTACTGCACTGCCCGGAAGCGGAGTATGTTTGGTCCATAGCTCGAACCCTGTGGGATCGCATCACGGACTTCTCATTCCCAAGGAGCAAAAGAGTCCATCTCACACAAACTGAAGTCCCGAGAGGATGGTACTCAAGCCATAAGTGCATTTACCAGTTGCTGAGACAATACACATTATGGACAGTCTGGAAAAAAAGATGTCAACAAGTGATAGGTAAAAGGTCGTCAACCAGAACGGAAGCCAGAGCAACACTACATAATCTGCTACAGACGGACATTACAGCTCAATGGCAGCGAGCCAAGAAGCAGGCAGCGGCTAACCCTGAAAAGGCCAAGGACATTCTCACAAAATTCCAGAACAGAGTATTGGCCAAAGGTGAAGTAGCCACAATAGAGGGGCACAGGCTGATCTTCCATTGGTTCAGAGAAGACCAACAAGACATGGCAAACGGACACCAGGGGCAGACACAGCAACTGGGTACACTATGAACAAGGGAAGTCAAAGCTCAGAAAGGGGAAGGAAATGGGTGAAGTGCAAGCAATGGATCACCGGTTAAGACAGACTCGCAAACGGCAGACCATAGGAAGAAGCAAAGGAACGTTGGAGACTAATGGCATTGAGAAGAAAGGGAAGGGTTTACAGCAAAGGAACTTTGGAGGCTATTGGCATTGAGAAGAAAGGGAAGGTTTAAGGTTTCGGGGGGTAGGGTTTAGGGTAATTTAAAAAAAACAATTCTCCCCTGTGATGCGTGGTCATTGCTTCCCACGTCCGTTGTCACGTCCTTCTAGGCAATTACATGACATCCTTTTTTTGATGATGATGAAGAAGCTTTGCTCTTCTTGTCCCCAACACTGCTGGGTACAACCCCATCCTCCGCTTCTTCATCCTCCGCCACTTCCTCCTCCTCGTCCTCCCCATCCTTCTCCGCCATCTCCTGCACCGATACCACCCTCCGCCGCCTATTCTTTCTCCCTCCATGCGGCCTGCCCCTCCTCCTCCTCCCCCTCCTCCTCCGCTGCCCCACCCTTAGACAGACGGGGCTTTGCACATCCTGCATGCACGACTTTTCTCTTTCATCCCCTCTCTCTCTCTCTCTCTCTCTCTCTCTCTCTCTCTCTCGCCCCACCCTTAGACAGACGGGGCTTTGCACATCCTGCATGCACAACGACTTTTCTCTTTCATCCTCTCTCTCTCTCTCTCTCTCTCTCTCTCTCTCTCTCTCTCTCTCTCTCTCTCTCTCTCTCTCTCACACACACNTCTCTCTCTCTCTCTCTCTCTCTCTCTCTCTCTCTCTCTCTCTCTCTCTCTCTCTCTCTCTCTCACACACACACACACACACACACACATTCAGATGTTCCAAAGACACCAGATCAGATGTACGCCTTCACCTCCTCAAGGCGCAGATTCGGCATGTACTTTAAACCGGCCCTTTCTCGGCTTTTGCCAACCACATCTTCAGCACGTGTGCCCAGCATAAAGTAGTTCTCTTCTCCTAGATGGTCACGAATCTGGATGTTTGCCCCATCAATACTCTCTCTCTCTCTCTCTCTCTCTCTCTCTCTCTCTCTCTCTCTCTCTCTCTCTCTCACACACACACACACACACACACACATTCAGACGTTCCAAAGACAATGTACGCGTTCACCTCCGCAAGGCGCAGATTCGGCAAGAACTTTAAACCGGCCCTTTCCCGGCTTTTGCCAGCCACATCTTCAGCACGCGTGCCCAACATAAAGTAGTTCTTTTCTCCTAGACGGTCACGAATCTGGACGTTTGCCCCATCACGCGTACTGATGAAGACACAGCCATTCATTGAGAAAGAGCTTCATATTCCTTTGCGCTACCGACTTCCATACCCGCAATGCCAATGTGCTGAGGCAAAGCCCTCGCAGGAATCACTCTCTCTCCAAGAGACACATTGTGACCTTGAGCAGATCACCGATCTCAGGGCCGTTTTCAACAGCTTATTGGGTTCACAAACAGTGGGCGGTGAATTGGCGGGTTGACCCGACGCCACACGACACGACCTAATGCTCTTCAAAACCTACACAACGAGGAGAAAGAAAAAAAACTACGCCCCACTCGACCAACAAAACGAGCTTAGCGCCAAAAACAAGGAGCCCTTCGCACAACGAACCGAGCTTAGCCCGAGAAAAAAAAACAAACAAAATTGCCCCAGCTTGATTCCTTTTCCCAACGTAAACGGATCTCACGGGAGGGCTATGCGAGACCGGCTATTCACTTTCAGACGTTATACATAGATACGGTTTCAGATGCTATAGACAGATAGATTATAGATATAGATAGATAGCTAGATAGATAGATATTATTAGGCGAAATGATCGGATCAGTCAGAGTCAGAATCTGCTTCTCTATCCCTATTGCTCGATCCAAACCGAACGCTCGTCCCACCGCCATATCCGGCTTCGACTCCGTTATCTTCCTCTTCACTGTCGTTATCCCCTTTCCCCCCGGACTTGCACTTTGCCGAAATGACCCCTGCTCTCAGTAACCGCGCCTCCAGCACATTTGTTGGAAAATCATCTGCGTGCCCTAATTCCTGAAAGCCTACGATTCGATCAAAAGCCACACCATCTCTGAACAAAATCAAGCACGGAAGGACTTTCACTTTCAGTTTCGTGACGAAGAAGGGACACTTCACTGCGTCGATTTTGATGAACTTGGTGCCAGTGTACTTGGCACTTAGCGCTTTCAAGTGCATGTCCAAGATCTTGCAGCGTGGGAAATCCTTGTGGAAAAAATGGCAGGCCACGTGTTGCGTTCCCGTCACCTCGGGGAGAAAGTCTACCTCCACGATCTCTCGATACTCCCCTTGCCAACCTTGATGCTCTTTTGCAGCATGGCGCGCAGCTTCCTCTCTCTTCAGGGCCTCCAACCGCTTGGCTTGAATCCGATCGAGTTCGGGATCGTCTTTGTCCAGCTCATCCAGGTCCACTTCATCTTCCTTTGGTCCGCCAGATTGAGAAGCTTGCCGCTGAGTGGCCTCCAATTCCTTCTTGTAATCCCGCGCGGCGGCAGCCATTACTGTTCCAAAAGCTAGTTGAGATAACTTCTGGAAAGTGGCCGGAGAATCGTCAGCTCCCCCTGTTCCAGCCATATCTTCCTGATACTGTCCCGATGCAGACAACAATTTCCCGCCAAAACCGATTTTGACACGGCGGCAGAACCTTTTCCTGACACTGTCCCGATGCAGACAACAATCTCCCGCCAAAACCGATTCTGATCCGGCGGCAGAACCTTTTCCTGATACTGTCCCGATGCAGACAACAATGTCCCGCCAAAACCAATTTCGATCCGGCGGCAGAACCTTTTCGTCCCCTGCCTTTCAACAAGTCTGAATCTATCTTATGCTGGACCGGCAAGACTCGAAAGATGTGAAGGGAGGCACTGCGTTTTCAGATCGATTCGTCAATACGGTATCTGGAGTTCGATCCAGCAGAATGGGGGTGGAAGACAAGAAAAAACAGAAACAGCAACAATGTGATACCTACTCAGATTACTCGGTCAAGAACGGCTATAAGATGCTACTCAAGGCAAAAGACCCAGAACCGATTATTAAGAATGGATGGGCAAGGTTGGTAGGGGACAAGGCCAATCAAATCTCCAAAATACCATGGAAGAAATTCAAAACAATCTGCCCTGTCGAGGCCAGAAGTCCTCAACACTTAATCACATAGGCTGCCTTGCTAATCAATCACTGGCTACATATCAGGAGAAAGAACAAGGACCCTAACAGCTCGGACCTATGCATCATCTGTTCAGACCAAGAACAAGAGGACCTAATCCACTGTTCGATCAGATGCAATAGGGCCAAAGAACCTGTCGGACCATCTATTCCCCTCCACATTCCCTGAGCACCCCACCCAGCTCCTTCTCTGAATCTCTGGACTAATATCCCTTCCCAGTTTGACAAATCAGAGAGGACACGCTCAACAATACCCAGAACTTGCAGAACGAAGCAGGGACGGCAAGGAAGGGAATGATTGAGGCGGAAATCCGATGCCATTGGAAAAGAAAGAAAGATGCGGGAAAAGTCGTAAAAACGCCCCGCGACGAAACCTTTGTATCCATTTCCCCCCACACGGGGGAAAACGTGCCGCAGGCCCCAAAATCACTTTCGGCGTCATTTTTGCACCCTGCAAAACACTTTCCCGCCATTTTTACACAGTGGCCGTTACCGGGCCAGCCAGGGTGCAAAAATGACACCAAAAGCTAGGCTACCAGACAGGCCGTCCGGGTCACCCTATTTTCCCAGGCGGCCCGGCCGTGCAAGGACCAGGGAAGGTCCCAGCCAAAAAGAAAAAAGAAAACAAAAATCCAAAAAAAATGAAAAAAAACTATGTTATGCAGAAAAATAAAATGAACAACTTTTGCCTCACGATTACATCGAAATTGAAAGAATAGTGACCCTAGCAGCTCGGACCTATGCGTCATCTGTTCAAACCAAGAACAAGAGGACCTAATCCACTGTCCGATCAGATGCAAAAGGGCCAAAGAACCTGCCGGACCATCTATTCCCCTCCACGTTCCCTGAGCACCCCACCCAGCTCCTTCTCTGAATCTCTGGACTAATATCCCTTCCCAGTTTCACAAATCAGAGAGGACATGGTTCGGGCTGCAGCAGGACGCTCAACAATACCCAGAACTCGCAGAACGAAACAGGGACGGCAACAAAGGGAATGATTGAGGCAGAAATCCGATGCCATTGGAAAAGAATGAAAGACGCGGGAAAAGTCGTCAAACCGCCACGCGACGAAACCTTTGTATCCATTTCCCCCCACACGGGGCGTCATTTTTGCATCCTGCAAAACACTTTCCCGCCATTTTTACACAGTGGTCGTTACCACGCCAGCCAGGGTGCAAAAATGACACCAAAAGCTAGACTACCAGCCGGGCCGTCCGGGTCACCCTATTTTCCCAGGCGGCCCGATGTAGGGGCCGTACCCTGAAGGACTTTCGAGCCTCGATCGACCCCACTGCGGGTCCCATTTGGCTCGACCCGCCCACGCACACGCTCAGGGCGCGGGTCGTTCGTCCCAGGGGCATCCCCACCTAGTGCTTTGAGATGGATGGGGATGGGCCTTTCGCGAGAGGGCTTTACATTGGGGGATGTAGCTCCCCTCTCACGTCAAGATGGTAGCTCTTTGGTCACTCGTGGCGTTTTCTTGATTCAATTAAGTCTGACCAGACAATTGCTCCTTCCAATACACAAGCAGTCCAGGGAGTTTATTGAAGATTTGTCTTCTTATCATGCGTAGGCCAAGCGTCATCCATTGGGCCACGCACCTTTTCACTATGTCTAGTGGCTCAAGACAGCCCCTACGGCATCCTTGGGGTGAGGTGGCGTCGCCCGGGCCCCTAGCCGCTATATTTTTTTTGCTTGAGTCACTAGCGTCATGTTCACCTACCCAAGACTACCCTTAGTCCTTCCGGGCTTGCATTGCATTCAAGAGAGTCATTGCATTCAATCATTACGCAAGCCATATCAAGGCATCTACCATTCATTCATGCATCCGACCGTCAAACCCATTCTGCATTCATAGTTTATGCGAGGTCTAAGTCATTCCCTTATCCATTTCCGGTGGATCCAGTCCCGCTCAACACCCATCCCAAGCTACTCACCTGCACAACACCACACAAAGCATGAACCAAATATGATCCTCATTGGGGTCAACACACCGCCCCTTCCCACAAGCCTAGGTTTCCTTTTCCCTTCGATGATCCTTCGGTTATCTTTCCCTTCCCTCAAGCAAAACCATGCCTTCACCTTAGTCATGCAGTCGGGGTAGATAGTTGAGTCAAACTAACCTCGTCCAAAATCATCACTCCTTTTCGCTTTCGCAAATGTTCTCAATAGTCCCGTATCCTTTCCTTCTTGGTGGCACAAGGGACCGACAACCCTTCCCTTGCCCTCGCTTTCCACCAAGTGAGGACTAAGTTCCTTTCCGTTCGTTCTCTGGCAATGTAACAGGTGAGGGTGGAGGTTAGTCACATGCCATGGAGGGGGAAGGGTTGACGGAAGGGTTAGGGGTTAGAGAGTTTTGAAGGAATGGGGGAAGACGGAGGGGGAGAGAGAGAGAGAGAGAGAGAGAGAGAGAGAGAGAGAGANCTAAGTTCCTTTCCGTTCGTTCCCAGGCAATGTAACAGGTGAGGGTAGAGGTTAGTCACATGCCATGGAGGGGAAAGGGTTGACGAAAGCGTTAGGGGTTAAAGAGTCTTGAAGGAATGGAGAAAGACGGAGGGAGAGGGAGAGGGAGAGGAAGGGAGAGAGTGAGAGAGAGAGAGAGAGAGAGAGAGAGAGAGAGAGAGAGAGAGAGAGAGAGAGAGAGAGACAAGAAGCTTCTCATCCTAATCGACCTTGCTCATTGGCCCACCCTAACCGATCCTGCCCGAGGTCCCGTGCATTCCCCTTGCGACCCCCTAAGATTTTCGGGTGGACGTGTGTGGGTGATGGAGGAGGAAGAAGGGTAGAGTGTGGTCGGCTATGGCGGACGGGTGTGGGTGATGGAGGAGGAAGAAGGGTTGAGGGTGGACGGCTATGGTGGATGGGTGTGGGTGATGGAGGAAGGAGAAGGGTTGGGAAGGTCCGACTATGGAGGATGGACGTGGGTGTGGGTGATGGACGAAGAAGAAGGGTTGGAGGTGGTCGGCTATGGTGGACGGGTGTGGGTGATGAAGGAAGAAGGAGGGTTGGAGGTGCTTGCCTATGGTGGACGAGTGTGGGTGATGGAGGAAGAAAAAGCGTTGGAGGTGGTTGGTTATGGAGGACGGGTTTGGGTGATGGAGGAAGAAGAAGGGTTGGAGGTGGTCGACTATGGTGGACGGGTGTGGGTGATGGAGGAAGGAGAAGGGTTGGGGAGGTCCGGCTATGGAGGACGGGTGTGGGTGATGGAGGAAGGAGAAGGGTTGGGGAGGTCCGRCTATGGAGGACGGGTGTGGGTGATRAAGGAAGAAGAAGGGTTGGAGGTGGTTGGCTATGGTGGACGGGTGTGGGTGATGAAGGAAGAAGAAGGGTTGGAGGTGGTTGGCTACGGTGGACGGGTGTGGGTGATGGAGAAAGAAGAAGGGTTGGAGGTGGTTGGTTATGGAGGACGGGTGTGGGTGATGGAGGAAGAAGAAGGGTTGGAGGTGGTAGGCTATGGTGGAAAGGTGTGGGTAATGGAGGAAGGAGAAGTGTTGGGGAGGTCCGGCTATGGAGGACGGGTGTGGGTGATGAAGGAAGGAGAAGGGTTGGAGGTGGTTGGCTAAGGTGGACGGGTGAGGGTGATGGAGGAAGAAGAGGGGTTGGAGGTGGTTGACTATGGTGGACGGGTGTGGGTGATGGAGGAAGAAGAAGGGCCGGACGTGGTCGACTGTGGTGGACAGATGTGGGTGATGGAGGAAGGAGAAGGGTTGGGGAGATCCTGTTATGGAGGGTGGACGTGGGTGATGGAGAAGGAAGGAGAGTTGAAGGTGGTCGGCTATGGTGGACGGGTGTGGGTGATGGAGGAAGGAGAAGGGTTGGGGAGGTCCGGCTATGGAGGATGGACGTGGGTGATGGAGGAGGAAGGAGGGTTAAAGGTGGTTGGCTATGGTGGACGGGCGTGGGTGACGACGGAAAAAGAAGGGTTGGAGGAGGTCGGCTATGGTGGACGGGTGTGGGTGATGAAGGAAGAAGAAGGGTTGCAGGTGGTTGGCTATGGTGGACGGGTGTGAGTGAAGGAGGAGAAAGAAGGCTTGGGGTGATCCGGCTATGGGGGATGGACGTGGAAGAAGGCCCGTTCGATGTATCCTAACTCCTAGCCCCATGCTTCCGTTTTCTACCTCGGGCGCCTGACCGCCCCCTATCACTTTCGGAAGTCGTCGATCACAGCAAAAATGGGGAAGGGACCGAACCGCAGCCCACACACACACACTCACACATACATACTCCGAGTGTTACTGGGTACAGCAAGGGGTAAGGATGGCCTGCACAAGTTACCGGGGACTGCAACACTCACACATACACACACCGAATGTTACTGGGTACAACAAGGGGTAAAGATGGACCGCACAACTTGCCGGGGACTGCAACACTCACACATACACACACCGAATGTTATTGGGTACATCACAGGGTAAAGATGGACTGCACAAGTTACCGGGGACTGCAGCACTCACACATACACGCACCGAATGTTACTGCGTACAGCAGGGGGTAAAGATGAACTTCACACGTTACCGGGGACCGCAGCACTCACACATACAGACACCGAATGTTACTGGGTATAGAAGGGGGTAAAGATGGACTGCACAAGTTACCGGGGACTGTAGCACTCACACATACACACACCGAGGGTTGCTGGGAACAGCAAGGGGTAAGGATGGACTGCACAAGTTATCGGGGACTGCAGCACTCACACATACACACACCGAATGTTACTGGGTACAACAGGGGGTAAAGATGGACTGCACAAGTTACCGGGGACTGCAGTACTCACACATACACACACCGAATGTCACTGGGTACAACAAAGGGTAAAGATGGACTGCACAAGTTACCGGGAACTGCGACACTCACCCATACACACACCGAGGGTTGCTGGGTACAGCAAGGGGTAAAGATGGAATGCACAAGTTACTGGGGACTGCAGCACTTACACATACACACACCGAATGTTACTGGGTACAACAAGGGGTAAAGATGGACTGCACAAGTTGCCGGGGACTACAACACTCACACGTACACACACCGCTATAGCCAAATAACAAGACTAAAGCAATCTGCCTAGAGGAAAGTTCGTCGAGGCATCCCAAGGTAATTCGCAACTTACACATGGGTCAAGATTAATGAAGGCACAAGTTTTGAGAGCACCCCATCCAGCGGAAAGTTCACCGAAGCATCACAAAGTGAATCGCAATCTACCCAACCACCCAAATCAGAGACAACACAAGATTTGAAGCATCTACCAAAGGGGGAACATCACCGAACTATCACAAGGTGAGTCGCCACTTACCCAAGCACCCAAATCAGAGACAACACAAGATTTGAAGCATCTACCCAAGGGGAAACATCACCAAACTATCACAAAGTGAATCGCAACTTACCCAAACACCCAAATCAGTGAAAACTCAGGATTTGAAGCAATCCATGAAGGGGAAAACATCACCGAACTATCACAAGGTGAATCGCAACTTACCGAAGCCCCCAAATCAGTGAAAACACAAGCTTTGGAGCAATCTATGAAGGGGAAAAATCACCGAACTATCACAAGGTGAATCGTAACTTACCCAAGCACCCAAATCAGTGAAAACTCAAGATTTGAAGCAATGTATGAGAGGAAAACATCACCGAACTATCACAAGGTGAATGACAACTTATCCAAGCACCCAAATCATTGAAAACACAAGCTTTGAAGCACTCTATGAAGGGGAAACATCACCGTACTATCACAAGGTGAATCGCAACTTACCCAAGCCCCAAAATTAGTGAAAACTCAAGATGTGAAGCAATCTATGAAGGGGAAACATCACCGAACTATCACAAGGTGAATTGCAACTTACCCAAGCACCCAAATCAGTGAAAACACAAACTTTGAAGCAATCTATGAAGGGAAACATCACCGAACTATCACAAGGTGAATCGCAACTTACCCGAGCACCCAAATCAGTGAAAACTCAAGATTTGAAGCAATCCATGAATGGGAAACATCACCGAACTATCACAAGGTGAATGGCAGCTTACCCAAGCACCCAAATCAGTGAAAACTCAAGATTTGAAGCAATCTATGAAGGGGAAACATCACCGAACTATCACAAGGTGAATCGCAACTTACCCAAACACCCAAATCAGTGAAAACTCAAGATTTGAAGCAATCTGTGAAAGAGAAACATCACCGAACTATCCCAAGGTGAATCGCAACTTACCCAAGCACCCAAATCAGTGAAAACACAAGCTTTGAAGCAATCTATGAAGGGGAAACATCACCGAACTATCACAAGGTGAATCGCAACTTACCCAAGCCCCCAAATCAGTGAAAACTCAAGATTTGAAGCAATCTATGAAGGGGAAACATCACCGAACTATCACAAGGTGAATCGCAACTTACCCAAGCACCCAAATCAGTGAAAACTCAAGATTTGAAGCAATCTATGAAGGGAAAACATCACCGAACTATCACAAGGTGAATCGCAACTTACCCAAGCACCCAAATCAGTGAAAACTGAAGATTTGAAGCAATCTATGAATGGGAAACATCATCGAACTATCACAAGGTGAATCGCAACTTACCCAAGCACCCAAATCAGTGAAAACACAAGCTTTGTAGCAATCTATGAAGGGGAAACATCACCGAACTATCACAAGGTGAATCGCAACTTACCCAAGCACCCAAATCAGTGAAAACTTAAGATTTGAAGCAATCTATGAAGGGGAAACATCACCGAACTATCACAAGGTGAATCGCGACTTATCCAAGCACCCAAATCAGTGAAAACTCAAGATTTGAAGCAATCTATGAAGCGGAAACATCACCGAACTATCAGAAGGTGAATCGCAACTTACCCATGCCCCAAATCAGTGAAAACTCAAGATTTGAAGCAATCTATGAAGGGGAAACATCACTGAACTATCACTAGGTGAATCGCAACTTACCCAAGCCCCAAAATCAGTGAAAACACAAGCTTTGAAGCAATCTATGAAAGGGAAACATCATCGAACTATCACAAGGTGAATCGCAACTTACCCAAGCCCCCAAATCAGTGAAAACTTAAGATTTGAAGCAATCTATGAAGGGGCAACATCACCGAACTATCACAAGGTGAATCGCAACTTTCCTAAGCACCCAAATCTGTAAAAACTCAAGATTTGAAGCAATCTATGAAGGGGAAACATCACCGAACTAGCAAAAGGTGAATCGCAACTTACCCAAGCCCCCAAATCAGTGAAAACTCAAGATTTGAAGCAATCTATGAAGGGGAAACATCACCGAACTAACACAAGGTGAATCGCAACTTACCCAAGCCCCCAAATCAGTGAAAACTCAAGATTTGAAGCAATCTATGAAGGGGAAACATCACCGAACTATCACTAGGTGAATCGCAACTTACCCAAGCCCCCAAATCAGTGAAAACACAAGCTTTGAAACAATCTATGAAGGGGAAACATCACTGAACTATCACAAGGTGAATCGCAACTTACCCAACCCCCCAAATCAGTGAAAACTCAAGATTTGATGCAATCTATGAAGGGGAAATATCATCGAACTATCACAAGGTGAATCGCAACTTACCCAAGCCCCCAAATCAGTGAAAACACAAGCTCTGAAGAAATCTTTAAAGGGGAAATATCACCGAACTATCACAAGGTGAATCGCAACTTACCCAAGCACCCAAATCAGTGAAAAATCGCAGTTTTGACAAGACGAGGAGGGAGGAGAATGGGGAGAAAAAAAAAAAGGAAGAAGGGGAGGAAGAAGAAGAAGAAGAAGAAGAAGAAGAAGAAGAAGAAGAAGAAGAAGGAAAGGAAGAAGGAGAAGAAGAAGAAGAAGAAGAAGAAGAAGAAGAAGGAGGAGGAAACCTCCCTCCTCGTTCACTCACCTCTTGTTGGTCTCAAGGCAGTGGAGTCCCAATGCTTGGTTCTAGCCTCCTGGGTATAATTTTTCCTCTCTCCCAAACTTTCTCCTCCTTCCTTTATACCTCTCCTTTAGCTATGGCAGGTTCCTACTTCCAAGGTTGTGGAGTCCTTCCCTCTAGAAAGGCTATGGGGACCCCTTTCGGCCTCTCCTTCTACTTCACAGCCTGGGGGCTATGGCGGACCACTCTCCTTGCTCCCCCCTAGCCTCCAGGTCACCTTTCTCAGCCTCACCACCATAGCCAGGCTACAGGCTAGCTCCGACCCTCACTCCCTTGCTTCTCTCCCACTCGGACTCTTTCCTGGACTCATTTGGGCAGCATAGGCACCTCTCATGCTCAAATGAGAGTTGCGGCCTACACCTCCAGCTTATGTAGGCTGGAACATGTGCACCGCCCAACCTCTAGGCCCCTCCAAGTGCCTCTAGGTGGAGCGAGGTACCCCAAAGGCCAAATTTCCGGTTTTGGCTTCTCAGGGGGTACCTGGGCCTCATTTTGGCTAGGTACATGCAGTCCGAGAGACTGGTACCCTCTCGGACTACCCCTTGGCCTGCCCTTATTCCGCCGATGGTTCCGGTCTTCAGCCCCCATCAGTGGCTCCTGATACTTCGTCCCGTCGATACCCGTCCTGCTAGCGGTTCCGCGGGTGCCGCCATTTTATCTAGGCCCACGCGGTCCCTGGCACTTCGGCCCGCCTGCATTACGTCTTTCCCTTGGTCTTACGAGGTTCCCGGTACTTCGCCCTGCCAGCACCACGCCATCCCCTGGTCCCGCGTGGTCCTCGACTCTTTGTCCTACCGGTACCGCCCCGTCTTCCGATCCCATGTGGTCCCCGACACTCCTGCCCCTCCTGTACCACGTCTTCCCTTGGCGCTCCTGACGTCCTTCAGCCTTGCGGCGGTCTCCGGCTCTTTGTCCTGCCGGTACCGCTCTGGGCGTCGGTTCCCCCTAACCTGCGATCTCCTCGACCCACCTGCCGCCGCGTCACGTCAGCGCCTTGCGCCCTGTTCCTTCTCACTTTCTTCCTTCCCTTGCTGCGCACCTCTCATGCTGCTACCAACTTTCCCGGCGGCCATCCTCCGTCCTTGGGGAAGGAGTCGCCCTTGCTATTCTCTCATATTCCTCTACTGATTCCTGCTTAGACAATTCCTCTCTAACTTTGGCGGTCTTGACGACTCCGGACAACCTCTAGCCTCCAACTGTCCGTGCTCACGCTTTCGATCTTTCCATCATTCCTGCCTCCGATTTTCTTTGCCGTGCACAAATTGGTCAAATACAGTCTCTCGAGTGACGGAAAATCATTCGGGACTCACCAGTCTCGACATATTCCCCCCCCTCATTCGTGATGTCCCCATCGCGCATCAATCCATGGTCAGTAGGAATTTTGGGGTGATAGACAAACAAGGAGGGGAAGTGGGGTGGGATGAATAGTTAGCTTACCAGGGTTTTTTTTGTCTTTTCCCACTCTTTCATCGGGTCCTTCTTTAAGTTTCCGCCCCTTGGGGCGGGGGAGGGTATGGAGGGGTCAAGGTTTTGTTTCGGGTTTCCTTTGGATTGCGTAACGTCCCCAAGCTCAGTAATGTCTTTGTAACGAGCGCGTAACACTCTCTGTGCATCAACGTCTGTCTCACAGTTGTATCTCTTTCTCACTGGAGCTCCCGCATACCCAAGAACTTCCCCACAAATTCCCGTATCGTTCCACAAGAGAGAGGACGGCGCGCCCATCATCTTCCCCAGGGGCCGAGGTAAAAGGAAGATTTTGGCGACGGATGTTACAAGGATCATTTGCCATGGCTTCCTCCAGGTGCGTGCTAGCAACACGTCAAGGAGCTTAAGCGGCTTGGTGTCTCTTTCCCTCATTGAGTCGGCTAGCATCGCCCCTTGGAGGGGTCCGACCACAACATGCCTTGCAGCTAGTTTTTCATTGTACGTTATTTCTCGCTCTCGGCAATGTCTTGAAGGCTGCATTCGTAATCTCAAATCTATCTTCCCATTTCATTGAGGAAAACATTCTCGAGCAGAAATCCTTTTGGTTTCATCTCATTTATTACTCTTAGGGCATCCACACACTTTCAGTACAGTTTTTCCTCTCCCCGAAGCTCAGATATAGCCAAATCCACATGCATTCTTCCCGGGTCATTCCTCCCGGTCTTTCTCAGGTCCTGCCAATTCCGCATGCATTTCATCCTTTGCCCCTTTCTTGCCCTTTACTTAATTGACTCTTCATGTGCAATGCTTGGTTCACCCCTTAGCCATTTCTCATCTTTTCAAACTTATACGAGCCAATTACACAACCAACTCTCAGTCTGCCAGTTCCTTTTCTTGGGTTCACACAGAATCAATCACACCAGCCCTTCCCTTCCTGACTATCTTGCCAAGCCGTTTTTCTCAAGTTTATATCATATCACTTGCTCAAGTCATTTTTGCTCTGGCGTCTTGCCAGGCCCCCTTTTCTCAGGACCATACAAAGCCAGTTATAATCTTTTTCTGTTCCGGCCATCTTAACAGGCCCCTTTTTCCCAAACCCATGCAAAATCAATTACAAGTCTTATTTTCATGCGTTCATTGGTAGATGGCACACCTTCCCCCCACTCAAAACGCGATGTCCCCATCGCGCGACTGGTCCTCACTCGGAGGCACGAGACCTTTGGCCCACCAACCGCAAGTCAAGGACATAAGCCCATCCGCTTCACAAAAGGAAGAGTGATCAGTTCCTCCCCAGCGGACGACGCCTCATCCTTCTACTCGGTCCGACCTTTCTTCTCTTACATGGCGAGCACCAATACTGGGGTTCCTCCCCGCGTCTGTCAGGTAGGTCCAATCCAAGCCTGCCAGGGCCTCGTCTAGCCATAAGAGCATTCCTCGCGAATCGTTCCTCCCGAGTGGTGATTTTCTGGATTCCGGCCTCTTCCTTTCAAGAGAGTTGGGGCTCTCGATCAGTCCGCGAGTGCAGTTATGAAGACCTCGCAATTAGTCCCGAAACGGTTGTAATGTTCCGACAGGGCAGTGTCAATGCACCGTGGTGGTGGCGGACTCCACCCGGTACCTCGCCCAGCCTCTCCCCTTGGACAGTGCCGCCCAACTTAGTGCGGGCAGCCGTGGTCCGGCCCAAACGGCCATACCACCCCTCTATGACATGGCGTGTGGTTGGAGAGTAGCAAAATAGACTAGATGAGAATGACTTTCCTTCCCATTTGGCTCTCTCGCCCTTTGACGTTTAGGCATTCAACAGAAGGCGCAGTTGAAACTCCCCGATTAGAGCTCATTGTCGGAGGTGGTTCCGGACGTCCCGCACCGATCCAAGTGGTAGGTGCCTTAGTCCTTTAACCCTCACCCTCTCGAAGAGGAACAGGTCGTGCTGAGACTTTTTCCCTCAAAGGGATAGAGGTCTTGAGGTCGCGGTGCATGCACCGGTATCCCCCTCTTGCTGAGGCCAAAGACTAGAAGAAAGGAGAAGTTCCATTTCAAGGCTTTTTCCAAATCCATTTCAAGTTGCCTAGGGTCCTCTGTTTATGCAATACAATTTCCAATACTCAATCCAGTTTCAATGCTCAGTCTCATTCCCATGCTCAATCTCAGTCCAATGCTCATTCTCAGTCCAATGCTCAATGCAATATCTCTTCCAAGGCCGAGTCCAATATCTCTTCCAATGTCGTTTCCAAGGTTCAGCTCTTCCAATGTATTAACCAAGGCTCCGCCCTTCCAATTCCATGCATCACAAGCAGCCATGCAAGGGGGACCCCAGTGCCAATTCGAAAGAATGACCCTTGTCAGGGGTCATTCCAAACAACCTGGTTAGGGTCGTTCTTTCCATTTCCAAGTCAGACAGCCTGATTAGGCCATTCTTATCCATTGTCATCGGACAGCCTGGTTAGGACCATCCTTATCCATTTCAATTGGGCAGCCTGATTAGGGTCATCCTTGTCCATTGCAATGTTAGCGCCCGAGGGGGTGGGCCTCGAGGACATGGATCCTGTCTCGTCTCGGGGGTTAGAGGGCGGCCATCGTCTTGGGTTTTTTACACATGCTCCTTCCTTTTGCTCATGTCTTTTGTCATTCTTACATCCATCCATCCATCCGACTTAGCGTCTAGTACTCAAGTTGAGGCTCGCGGCCCCAAGCAGCACTAGCCCATCCGGTCGTTCAACCATTGCAAGGGGTGTTGCATCATTTCAATGTTTCCCTGCCACTTTTCTGACTTCTCATATGCTTCTCAATGCTCTGGGGTTGCCTGGGGTAGGTTGGATTAGGCTCCTAAGGGAGAGTGTGCCTCTCTACCCATAGGTCCCCTAACCTCTCACAAAGACTCATGGGGGCGACTCATTCAATCATGGATACATAACTCACAAGAAAGACTTTCATCATGAATGTTTCTTCCAGCGTTCAAGAGTTCACATGCTGCTGCCCATAAAGTCAACCAACCCCCAATCCCTTCCTTACAACCCAAAACTCATATTTCCAACACGGAGCGAGTACTTATACAAAGTAGCCCTGATCACCCACCCTCTACTAGCTCCCTCAATCCAAAAAGTAATTTCATTGCAGTCCTTACAAGGAAAACTAAGGAGACAGAGTTCGAATGCAAAGGCAACATTATAGACTCGTCTTCGTCTAGATCCCCGTTGTTTCCCATTTTTCTTTCCCTTAATCTACCCAACCATCCAGAATTCTATTATAAGTGCAAAACCCTCATGCCTTTTTCTGAAGAAGCAACCATTCGTACGAAGTAGCGCTGACTACCCGGTCCTTAGTCACTTCGAGCTTAGAAAATGCATTCACAAAAAGAGTTCAAATGCGAAGTCCAAAATGGCAGCTCTGACTGCCCAGGGACCAACCCCCCCCAACTCCTAGTTGTTCCTCATTACGGCTGCCGTGCCTTTATCGTCCAGGTGGCCTGCGTTGAGCCTCCCTCCTTGCACGGTCCTCCGCTTCCTGCTGCATTTGCCTCTTTATCCTCTGCAACTGAAGGAGGGTCTCTTCTGAAAAAAATGTTGTTGGGGATATATCTTGTCCCCTGCCCAACTTTTCCCTTGCCTTCATTATCCATTGATATCGCAAGATAGCGCCCCATTGATCAAACCAGTCGCTGAACTCAGGCCCAAATTCCTCTATCCATTTATCCTTCTTCTCACCCGGTTCCCCCTCTCTTCCCCGTTCTTCCCTAGTGGGTGTTGTTACCTCATCTTCTTCCTCTTCGCTGGTGAGGTCGATGAACTCAACTGACTCATTCTCCCCCGGCCGTTGTCCCTCCTCTGGGCTCCCCTCTTCCTTGCTGCTAGGATCACTGTCTGAAGGCAGCTCTATCGGCTCCCCTTCCTTCAGTGGTGACGGCCCTCTGGTCCCTTGTTTCCTGCCCCCTCTGTTTACCACCAGGTTGTGGTCAAACCCCACATATAACTTCCTCTTCCTGGAGCTTGATTCCCCAGCCTGCCTCGATGATTGTCCCTCTGTAGGCCTATTGATAGCGTTGCAGTCATTTTCATTTTCAAATTCCATTTTACCGTTTGCTGTTTTCTCCTTGCCTGGTCCTGTTCATGCATAATAATCACCACAACCCCTCGTACACACGCATTCCCTTCCACTCCCATTTGCGGTTTTGGAGGATTCCCTAGAACTCTTGCTTGCCCCCATATAGTTGGTAACCCAATTATCCCTTAGAACCCTCGACACATTTTCCCAACACATAGGTGCCCCATGTAGGCAGTCCACATCATCACCACACAAAAACTACGGTACATTGTCCCAGCACATAAATACCTCGTGTAGATAGTCACCAACGTTACCCCACAAAAACTATAATACACTGTCCCGTGCTCCCAGACCTAGTCACAGACAGCCCAGACAGTCTCCCCACGTTCCACATAAATTCAAGTCACACAAACGAACAACCCTTGTGGTCATGATCACTTCCATAGGGAGGCGGTCCAGGGTCATAGCCAGTCGTCTACCTTTCAAGATGTGACCGCCCCTGTTTCCCTGTCTTGAGCCTCTTGTAGCCACTGTTCCACCGGATCCCTGCTAAAAAATCTGACCAGTCTCTGTCCCGGAAATGACCCTCTTATGCTAGTACCATCGAGATCCTCAAGCTCAAATGTGTTCAGTCCCACCCGCTTGGCGATCCTGTAAGGCCCTTTGAATTTTTTTCCCAACTACCCGGACCATGTGCTTTCAAGAGCCGAGTTCCTAACTAGCACATTTCCCCCCACCTGGAGTGGCTCCTTCCGAATGTTCTTGACCTGGTCCCATCTTGCCTTATCCCTCATTCGGCTATCCGTCACACGATTGACTACTTCCTCGAGTGCTTCCTCATTTCTGGCGACCTGCTGACAACGTGCCGTGATTAACTCTTCCGTGCTCAAGTGTGGGTCGTCATCTAGCCTGTTCCAGGTAGGGACCAAGGCTTCTATCGGAAAATCGATCTCCCTTCCATACCAGAGTTCTGCTGGAATACATCCCGTTGTTCTTTTTAGAGTCATGTTCTCGGCGAAGACTGCCTGCTTGAGAAACTGTGACCAACTTCCCAAATTATCTGCTGCCAACTTTGCAATTGTGTTCTTCAAAGTCCGGTGACCTCTTTCTACTGGTGCATTTGCCTCTGGATGGTAGGGCTCGGTGATCTTGATTGGTACGCACAATATCTTGAGCCTGTTTAACACTTCTTGGTTAACGAATTTTGTCCCATTGTCTGCTATAAACCTGCGCACGAAGGGGTGCCTTAGGTAGAAATCTTCCACCCAGTCGGCCACTGTTTTCCCCGTCTTCTTCTTGAGAGCTTCGACTTCTACATAGCCACTGAGATTATACCTTGCATCCAAGATGTATCTAAACCCATCCATTGATACGGGCATAACGGCAAGGTCGAGGTGAACAAGGTGTCCGGGTCCTAGTACCCGGTCGGGTCTAAGGGGCTCGTAAACCCGTACGACGCTCCTTTCTTGACATATCTGACACGTTTAACAATACGTACCGACCATCCCTGCCATCCCTGGCCAAAAGTACAGGGGCACGATCTTCGCAAGTGTTCCCTTAGATGACCGGTGACCTCCAGCTAGCCCATCATGCATTGCCTGAATTACGTCCAGCTGCCTAGACCTCCCACAAATGACGCGTCTAGGTGTCATCCCTTCCTCTTTCTTGAACATGTGGTCCTTTCTTAGACGTACTTTTCAACTTCCTCCCTCGCCTTGGGATTGACTTCCGCAAGTTGTTTATTCCCTACGAGCAGCAAACCGATTTCTTTAAAGACGCCCTCGTACATCTGTATGAGGAAGAACTCCTGTTCCTTCTGATCCGTACCCTGCTCCTCCCGAGTAAGGTTGACTAGGTACTGGCACTTCTTCTGTGCTCTGGCTTTGGCCAACGTCATCACGACGTCCCGACCCCCTTCGACGGTCATTGCCATGAGTTCCTCTCTGGTCCCTACTTCTGCTCCCCACGAGTCCTTTTCCTCTTTGCGCCTGACCGTGGTGACTGGTCCTTTCCTGAGTTCTGCAACTACTGCGGGTGTGCCCTTTTTCAAGGTTTGAATCAACAACTGGCCTGTTGTAAGCGTTGAGTCGGCCATTTCGTTATCCACAACAAGGGCCCCTCCTTCGTAATCTAGGAAGGCGTCAATTGGTTTTACGTCCTCTATTCCCTCCGGCGTGATGCATACCCTACTTAGCCCATCCACCCTGTTTCGAAGTCCTGCGATCCGCTCGACCTTGTAGTCGAACTGCGATATGAAGCCTATCCATCTGTCGACGGTCGGATCTATAGGCTTGTAGTTCTTTAGAGCCCCGACAACGTTGGTGGGATCGATCCTTAGGATAAATCGCCTTCCGAACAGGTATGCTTGGAAGGTCTTAAGACAATGCAGAATCGCTAAGACCTCCTTCTTGAACTGTGAGTATCGTCGTTCTGCCGAATTCAGGGTCCTACTTTCAAATTTGATTGGCCTTTCCTTGCCCTCCTCGCTTCTCTGTATCAATACTCCTCCAACTGCCAGTGATCCCGCATTTGTTTCTAGGATGAAGGACCGTCCTACTTCGTCATTGAAGCAGGGTGCTGCTAAGATAACCTGATCGGACGACAGGATGTCTTTCAGGGTCTGGGCTGCCTCTTCCCTATCCTCGGTCCAGTCCATAGTGCCACCTTCCCTAATCATCGTGTGGATAGGTTCTGCTATCTTTGCGAAACCTTTAATGAAGATCCTCCAGAATCCAACCACCCCTAGGAAGGCTCGTACTTCCATCGTGGTACGCAGGAGTGTCGGCCACTGAGAGATCTTATCTGTCTTTGCTGGGTCGGGTCTCCTTCCATAGGCCCCACAGCGAAATCCCAGTATAGCTACCTCCGGGACAGCCAAAATATTTTTTGGCCCACTTGCGGTAATATTATAGAGCAAGAACCGCTGTAGGAGATCCTTGATATCCTGCAGGTGATCCCAAACAAATTTTTGCACACCCGGCTCGACCTCCGTCTCGTCCTTGTACCTTGCGTCTTTTATGGGATTATCATTTATATACGGTTCACACTTTTCTGGAAACATATCCCCTGTGACGGCGAGCATCCTCCTCTGCGCCTCTGCTATCGCATTTGTGAAACCCATAGGGGTCACTTGCATCTGTAACTGTCCTACGGGGGTGTGCATTGCGGTGTATGGTCTATCCCTCGCATCGAGCGGCAACTGATCATATCCTGAGTACAAGTCTACCAGGGAGTAAATACTCCGCCCCACATGAGATTCTGCCAACAAATCGGCCTGTGGAAGCGAGCCTGCATCCCTAATTGTTACCGCATTGAGCTTCTGCAGGTCCTGGATCCACCTGAGAGTCTTATTGGGCTTCCTGAACACGAACCACTTGTTCGCGTAGGGGGATGCGGTGGGTTCAGCTACGAAAGAGTCTATCTTCGCTCTAAGCAGGTCGATGACCTCCGCTGCTATCCCAAACTCATAGGCGGGCCCTTTATCATTCCAACACTCGTGCTGTACGGTGTGGATCCTGACAGGGGGAACTAGCTTTGCGTTCAATCGCCCTTTCTGATGGTCATTGAAAGCGAAAGCTAGATGAAACTTCTGGCATGCCTTTCTTATCAACTGAGTTTCTTCCGCTGTTAGAAACCCTTCCACTCCTATTTTCACGGTATCTGCTACCTTATCTGGTATGCGATGCCCTTCCGTTGCGCGTCTCTCCCTTATAACCCGTAGAATCTCCTCCTCTTTTTCCATGACCTCTTCCTTTGATGTTTCTACTAGGATCGAGACCGACTTGACCTTCTTTCCTACGGGTTTGTATTTTCGCACACTGCCTTCTGGAATCGTTCTCATAAAAAATGAACGGTCGGGATTGGCCTTGCTATTTCCATGATACGGGGCTGAATGCTAACTATCTTCCCATTCAGGCAGTAACCTTTTCGAACCTCATTCTCAAACTTGGCAAGTGTTGTCGGGTTCACTCCCACTTTGTGGTACCTGATTGCCTTAACAAGTTGCAACAGGTCTGGGATTTCGAGCGCTAGCTCGGGGGTCTCATTACGCCCTTTCTTTGGCTTGGGCAGACTGGCCCCAAGTTCAACTTCCTGCTCCTTTTCCGCCACCATAACTCCCAGGGGCTCGTCCTCTGGCCTCCTCTTCTTTACGGACAGACCCATCTTGATCCATTCCTTTTTACTAAAAGCCTCCTCAATCATAATTTCTACCCTTTCCCTCATGCCTTTCATTTGTGCGAATGCCCCCTTCCGCGCACTTTCTTCGAATGTAGGAGACCAGGTTGCCAATTTGCCCTTCGGAGGGTCCCCTCCGGTCCCAAGAAGTCGGAGGAGTTCTCTGCGGCCAGTCACTGGGTCCTCTATGTCTACCATGTATGTGTCGTCGTTCAGATGCATTCCTATCATTTCCACATTGGTGCACCATGGTCTCCCGAGGATTACGTCGTGATCCATTTCTTCCATCACGGTTATCCTTTGAAAGGACCAGATGGATTCCCGGATTCCCGCCCTGACTACACATTTGGTGACATACCATGTGAAAGGAATTTCGCCACCGGCTCCCCGGATACTCCCTGCTACTTCCTTGTTTACCATGCACCCCGTGACCATTGCGAAATCTCGTCGTATGAGGGTGATTTCTGCTCCGTCGTCCACTAGCGTGTTAGTGTGGTGAGTTTCAATTTGAACTTTAAGTTTCCCAACTGGCAATGCATGAAAGCTAAGCTTTGTCCCGGGTGGCGCCCTCATGACTTCGCCACCTTCGCGATCCGGTAGGCTTAGGCGGAAACCGCAAAAACTTTCTCCAAGTCTTCCAGGCCCCCTGGAATGCTTTGGAGGTTGGAGACGCCTTGCAGCGCCTCAGCCTCTTCCGTGTCCTGCTCTTGCAGTTCCGGGGCCTCCTCTACCTCTACGCGCTTACGCGTTAGCAACTGCCTGAGTCCTTTAAGCAGCCTCGGGCTGGATTAGCATGGTCTGAAAAGACACCGATACCATGGTACCCAGTAGCTTACTCAAGGTGCCATCGATTTCTGGCGAAGTTAGGATCGGAATTTGATACTTTAACTTCTTTTTTGCCGCCATAGCCTTGTCTACTGGTTCGTCCTCCCTTGGCTTTCCATAGACCTTCTCTTGTTCCCCGGCTTCGGTCTCTTGCTGACCCGTGCTAGTCCCTGCGAGTTTTTCCATTACTGGATCTTGAATAAACTTCTTTTCTGCGCCGGCCCGACGGGTGGTGATATTTACCCTATCCTAGCCATTGCCTTCAAGGATAAAATTGGCCTGTGGTCCCCGTCCCCTTGGCTGGTCCCAAACAATCTCGGCTATCGGCTCTGCTTCTACTGCAGCTATCTCTAAGTTATTCAGGAGGATGACGGCTCGCCGCATTCCTCCTGGCGAGTTTCAATTGACGCGCTCTCCCCTGGGTCCGAGGATCTCGCCTTTGAGGGACCTGTTGCACCTCTGCCGCTCGATATCGTGATTGAGTCTTGGACAGGCCCGTACAAAATGCCCAATCATGGTGCAATATTTGCATTGTTCGTTGGCCGGGTCCCTCCTGCCAAATCCCCAGTTTGCTACAACTGCCGGAACCACGACTTCTTGGGGCGGGAGGGCGGGTCGGGATACTTGCGCCTGCATCACTAATAACGCGCTTTCCATTCTTTCTATCTTATTGTCAACCCCGTGCACCCTTTCATGCAGGCTTTCTATTCCCTTTTTGACCTTATCCCCCGTTTTGCCGGTCAGATCTATGACCTCCCTTTCCTTAAGCAGGGCTAGTGTCTCGGTGACCATTGTCTTTTCCGCAAGGTCTGTTACCGTGATGAAGTCCACATCTCTCGTGTACTCAAACTTACTGGTCTGCAGGTATGCTGACAAAATTTTATCCTTATCAAACTCGGAGAACTGCCTAAGGAAGTATTTACTCATTATGCGGTCCATTACCCCGGGAATTCGCAGCGCCACTAATGTAAATGCCCTTAGGAAATCGTTGTAAGTCGCAAAGTTTTTCCTCTGTACTGCTGCTAATTCGGCATCTGTTGCCGTTTTCTTTGCCTTCAGGTATTTCCTCATCATCTCGTTCCTGGTTTCTTTTCAGGATCCACTGGACGCGACGATGGCCATAATGTCCCTTCCTAAGCTTAGCGACACGTGTTGCCCTAGGTGCTCCATCTTTTCTTCTTCCGTCCATTTTAGTAAGGCTGCTAGGTTCTCATAGTCTATTAGAAACTCCATAATGTTTGCTTCATCAAAAGTGAGTTTCTTCTTTGCATCTGCGAGATATCCCTGATTCTTGTTTAGTGCCCCGGTGAGGGTGGCGACTATCCTCTTGAGACCACCTTCGGAGCTACCTGCTTCTTCAGCAGCACTAGTCCCTTCCCCTTCCTTGCTTTCCCTCTACTTCTCCCTGGTTTTCGGCGTTCATTCTGGGTCAAACCATCCTAGCACCCTTTCCCGAAGGCTCCAGAGTCCGTCGCATGCCTTGTTACATTCGGCATGGCGGGCAGTCGGCTAGTGCTGCTGTCGATGGCAGGCGGGTTCATAGCGTTTTTCGTCCCCTCCGCCGAGGGGTCGTTCTTGTCCTTTCCCTTCTTGCTAGGCGTTCCTTTGTGGCTATTATCCTTCTCCTCATACCTGGTCTCATCCGGACCGATCCTGCGTCCCTCACATGACCCTGCGCCCTGGGGGTCCTCCTCATCCTCGGCCATCATCTGCTCGCTGCAGTCTGCTTTTCTATCTCTGCCAATTTACGGCTGGCATCCGAGACTTTTGTCTTTTTAGGGGTGGCTGCTGCTGAGTTCCGAGGGCTTATTCTCATATCGTTTCCCCCTTCCCTGTTTTCCTGAGGTCCCCTTTTGCTACCCCCAGCTTTCCCCGAGCTTTCTCCAATTGAGGCATCATTTTCGTCTTCTCGGGTTCCTTCCAGTTTGACTGACAATCGATCCCTGGCCGATCCCTCGTTTCGTTCCCCATCCCCATTCGTGCCCTGATTCCCTCCGCTCTGCTGGTCATTGATTCCTTCCTCAGTCGTCATTTCTTTACCTAGCCTGCACATGGAAATTTTTTTTTGCGAAAAAGTGGCCGGTTGTTCATAACTGCCCTAGTCCCGGCCCTAAAACCCGCCTATTCCATGTTTTTTGCGTCTTATTTTAATCGGTCCGACTCTCCTGACTTTTCTTTCCCAGGGCGTCCTTCAGGTTTTTCTCCCGTCGGGGAACTTGCCGCCGCTGCTTGGCATTTTTTTACTGGCGCGCTTTGGCTCTTAGGGCTGTGTTTGAGCCCAGTGGCCTCCTTATCGAGGATGACCCTTTTAGCTTTTCAACCTCCAAATGCCCCGGAGTTATCTGGTGTGGGTGGCCTTCCTAGTTCCTCCTTGCCGCGCTATCGGTTCGGACGGAGCTCCAACCACTGCCCCTCTTTTGCTGGTGGCTGCTTACTTATCTTAGTACCCATCCTTTATTTCCCTACCTCTCCCTGACGCGTTTTCTCATGCTGGTCCCTCAGGCCTGCCCTGCTCATCTGGTTCCTCGAACAGGTCGGCCAACCCAGCAAGGTAATTTTCCCCCATCTCTATTTCCCTGATAATTATTGGTTCATATTCTTCAAACGACAGGTGGCGCAATCCGAATATCAAGATCCCGAGTAATTCGAGTAGTTCCCAGGCCTGGTTCCCCCAGAACGGCCCATGTCTGACCGACACATCATAGAACATGCTCGTTGTTTGTGGCCGGAAGAGGTGGATCCAGACCAGGGTCGAGTCCACCAGGGTCCCTAGCTCTCTTGAGGCTACCGAATACCAAGTCCACCATGAAACGAGGTACTCGACACCTCAACCCGGTCATTGGGGCCTTAAACTCTCGCCACCCTCCAACCTCCACCCGAGTTCCTAATCCCACGTTTCTTCTCCCCCGCACTTCCTGGCCCACCCTGTTCAACACCCTAGTAGCCCTCTGGAAGATTGGTAGCAACCTGAGACCTAGTGCCAATTCCGTTCTTAGCATGTACCATCCAAGTTCTGGCAGGTACATGGTCCCCGTTACCCTAAGGTCGGTGTACAGATCGTCTCCCGGTCCCCTGTTAATTCTCATACCATCCCACAAACATTCCACCATCATGAACGCCTGTCCTCTTCCCAGGGTCACGACTCTCCATTCGATGTCCAATCCTCGGATCGTATAGCTTGCAGGGAGCGATACCTCCCATCCGTCTCCACTTTCCGTGGATGGCCGCGGGTGTGTGGACTGTCGCATCATCCGAGCGCGTCTCATCGCCATTTTTGACTTAGTAGTCCCCTGCACAGTTTAAACAACAAGCAGTTTTACTTATTTCATTTAATCTTCAGCTCCCGCCCGAACAGTTCTCGGTTTCTAGCTTGAACCTTCCTTTTCTTTCCTTGACCTCTTTTATTGGTCCGTCCCTACATCCATCAGCTTATACAATCGGTACAGATCATCCACGTACACCATCCCTTGACTTATTTCCCGTCGGATGACACCCCATAAAACCTCACTTCCCACAACCGGAGCCCTTGGCCTGGTGCTAAACACAGCTCGCAGGATACGCAACACCTCGTACTTTTGTTCTCCACTGAACGGGTCCATTTCTAGGAAGGCCCGATAGTATTCTCGATGTACCATCGCATCTTCATATGTCAGGCTTGCGAGGTCGGTTACCGCTCGTCTAACAAGTCCCAGACCTCCCAGCCTTTCCAGCAGGAAGGGCGGCAACCTCATTCATACATTTTCACTAGGCAATTCAAAACTTCCGACCATGGCTACCCTAAGGTCCGCTGTTACATCGTCGACCCCCGGATCTGCGAACTCAAACCCCGCTCGCCATACTAACTACCATGCCCCTTCAAACATGCTCAACGGGTCTTCTCCTAATGCCAGCCGAACTCCGAACTCCCTCCACCCATCCTATGACACATACAACCGTCCTTCTGCACGCACATGTCCCCGCGGGTCCGGGTTCCATTCCCCATTCTCATCCGCACGCCACTCAAGTTTCGTTACCAAGTAGACCATATTTTCCACAAGCTCAACCCCGACCCAATCTGCCACCTGGCGCCAGCCTTCACTTGTCGCCGGCAAGCTAACCTCTACCCCACCCGGTACTTCCCTAGGCGGTTCAATGCCCATAGGGCGTTCCTCGAGGAATGTCCTTCTTCGCGCCATCACGCACTCGCCTTTGATCTCCTGGCTCGCAATCCGCACTGAACCCTACAATGGTCAGACATCCCATTCCCTTGTCTTAGCATTTTTTTCCATATTTGCCTGGCCCCACGGTTTTCCTGCGTTTAGTCGAACCACAGTACTTCGAACAGTTTGAACACATGATCCACATAGCAAGGTGTTGCTGCTACCTCACGACGGATTATGGCCTCCCTAGTTTCCGGGGCCACCTCCTGCCGGTCATTCCTTTCGATATCCAAAATGATAAGGACCTTCCGGGCTCTATCGCCATGGAAGGGTCCGTATTTCAAGGACGTCCTATAGAATTCTTTCGCCAGCCATGTGCAGTTCACGTGTATTCGCTCCATCGTGTCGGCTACCTCTGTTACGCGATCAAAACCCCCAAACCAGTCCGCCACGAATTCGGGCACCCAGGTCTTGATTCGGGCGCCAGGCGGTTTAAATTTCTTCCATCCTCCCATCACGACTCTACTGCTGACCGTATCCCAACCTTTGTTAGCAAACCTTTCTCCTGCCTGCCGAGCCCTTCCCTCAGCGTCCCCTAAAAGCCACATTGGGTTCTGTCCTGCCGCGAGCGCCGTGTAGAACAGGTGCCAACCTTGTTCAGAGAGAACGATCGTCCCGACTGATTTCACCCTTCCTTCCGCAATCTCTTCTCATCCTTCCTCTTCCCTCAACGGGTTCCAAACACGCTCTATCCATAGGTACGATAGCTCCGGCACAATCTCATAACCCCGCCAATCACATGTGGTCCCCTTCCATTCATTGCTCGGCGGTATTGACATTTCTACTCCCCTTCCGACTCGTCCTGGTTCCCATGTGCAGTCCCATAGCTCGAGTCCCCGGGCCATCGCTCCCTATCTGCACATAGTCGACAACCCGTTTTCCCCAGGTAAGCCCCCCTCCCCCATCCAGAAGTCCCAGTCCTCTATCTCGTCCCCGTCCTCCTCGTCACTGGAATCCTCCTCCTCGTCTAATAACATCTCTTTCACCCCTTCCAAGAAGGTTTCCCCTGCCGCCACGTTTCGGTAAACTATCTGCCAATGCACCGGACTAGGAACAAAGACTTCGTCCATGCTGAGGAGGTTTAACACCTCAGCTAATTCTTCCGCCCAGTTTCCCTCAAACGGCCCTGCTTCCACCGACAATCTAAAGAAGTCTTATCTAGCACATTGGTACAGCCTCAGGCGCGTCATCGACTGACATATTCGTTCCAATCTATCCCTGGTCCCAAAGACTGCATCCACCAGAAACGGGGGTAGCACACATCTCATTGTCCTAAGAGGACGTCTCATATTTTTCCGGTCCCCGAGTTCCACTCGCACCTCCATCCTTTCCATTTCCATTTTTGCCCGCTGACATGCTGCCCATACCACTTCCCGTTCCGCTTGCCTAAACAGTTGATCCGGTGCCGTGCCCAATACTAGTCCCACTACCATTGCATTTTCCAATTCTTGTGACAGGTAGACCCACCCTCGAGCTTCCACTGTTCTTCGGAATTCTAGGTTCATCAAGCTAGGTGAGAGTCTCATCAAGTTGATATTAGTCCAGATTGTCTCTATCCAGAGGAACGCGCCCTTTTTGTCCATCATCACGGTTTCATAGGCCGGTTCTAGGTCGGTCCACGTCCCTTCTTCCGGAAGAACAACAGATACCCCATCCCTTACCTCTATAGGCATTTCCGGACCACTAGAATAGACAGGAGGCGACAACCATCGCGCTATCTTGTTTTCGCGACGCTTGTCCTGTTTTCCACATGAGAGCACCACACGACCCTCATGGTCAATGGTTTGCTTTTCCTTTTCTAGATGAGAGTTGTTTTCAGGTCCCCCCATCCGGGTCTTTCTAACTTTTCCTACCCATTCCCCAGGTGTCATTACCTTACCATGCCCACATTCGGTCACCAGTGACCGACATTTCTTTTTCTTGGTTCCATTGCCTCCCGACTCCTATCTAGCCTTACTCTCATGTTCTCTCACTCGTGCGGACTTAGACAGGAGGCGAGAATAGACTCAGAAGCTCAGTCCCCATCCAACATTCACCAGGCAACTTTACAAAGGGAGGCACAAAAATAAAGTTCAGGCAAACGTCACACGCGGGTCGGTCATCTCCTCACCGACCTTTTTCCCGGAAATGGTCTCTCCACTGTTACCATTGGCAGGGTTTTAGCCCATACCTCCAGCACAGCTCAAACGTCGCGAGCGCGGTACCCAGGTCTCGGCAAGGCGTTCGCCCTTTTCTCCTTACCCAGAATACCCCATCCCGACTTGCCACTCGTGTACCCACCGTTAATCTCGGGAATCACCCTGCACATCTCGGTGAGGCCATTGGAGCCGGCCGTCCAGGCATTCACTTTCATCGGTCCGACAAGAATCAATTTTTTTCAAGCCATGCTACGAGAAGCTTTCAATCGCCTCCGAGGCTCCTTCCTTGCCCCATATGCAGTGGTCCCCCTGCCGTCTGCCGACAAGCAGCCGCCCCGCCTTAAGACGTTTCACACCTCGCCTGGGCAAGATCATCGAGCCATGCTTGGACCGCTCGGGTGAGAATGCTACTTAATCAGCCGACGAGACCAACCCTTGCCTTACAGCCTGGTGGCCCGAACCCCACACACGGAACCCGGCGAACTTCAAAGAGGACGACCATTGCGCATCCCACACCGGTCGGCGCAAACCAATCCTTTCCTTCCGAAAGGTAGGACGCTCGAATCCCCATCATGCAAACACAAGCCCCAAGTGAGACACACATAACACAAGTGACTTTCCCCAGGTGCACCCAGCGCTTCCTACCCATTGCTCACAGGTTTTCACTCAGGACAGTACGTGTCACTCGCCCCTAACTTCCATACATAGTGCCCGGTTCCTTTTCGTTAGCATCTTCAAGGGTGAGCTAGTTTTTCTTGGAGTCTAGCAACTCCCTTCATTCCCTTATCTTTGCTTGTGTGTCCGTTCATAGGGCAGGATTGTTCCTTCTCGATTACCGTTTGTGTTCATGTGAGGTTCCTTCAAGCATTTAAGTGCGGTGCACGGACCCCGCTGGGCTCCGAAGAGGAGAAGAGAAACACCCATGTCGGTCGGATCACTCCGCCGCGGGACTTTCATTGGAACCCGGACTGGCCCGGAATCCCAACTGCCTGCCAGGTAACCGGAGCCCTTCTTTCGCACGAAGAGGAAGGGTCGACCTGCGGCTTGCCCAAGGCCTCCCCGGCCTGACGAACATCAGTCCAAGGGAAGGAGGACTAGAGTCATCTCCAAAGGAGATGGCTGATCACAAGTGCAAGCATGCATGTTCTTCCTCCAAGCCTGACCTTGCCCCGCGCCCAGCCACCCTCAAATCTCATTCACTATAAGGGATAGAGCACACACAAGTCCTCATTCCTTCTCTTCATGTTTATGTTCGCGGTCATGCGTCGGGCGCTCCCCTCGAGACCGTATGGGTCAGTTTAACCCAATACCCGACACCTCCACCATTTTTGTAGGGGTCGTACCCTGAAGGACTTTCGAGCCTCGGTCGACCCCACTGCGGGTCCCATTTGGCTCAACCCACCCACGCTCACGCTCAGGGCGCGGGTCGTTCGTCCCAGGGGCACCCCCACCTAGTGCTTTGAGATGGATGGGGATGAGCCTTTTGCGAGAGGGCTTTACATTGGGGGATGTAGCTCCGCTCGCGTCCAGATGGTAGCTCTTTGGTCACTCGTGGCGTTTTCTTGATTCAATTAAGTCTGACCAGACAATTGCTCCTTCCAATACACAAGCAGTCCAGAGAGTTTATTGAAGATTTGTCTTCTTATCATGCGTAGGCCAAGCGTCATCCATTGGGCCACGCACCTTTTCACTATGTCTAGTGGCTCAAGACAGCCCCTACGACATCCTTGGGGTGAGGTGGCGTCGCCCGGGCCCCTAGCCGCTATATTTTTTTTGTTTGAGCCACTAGCGTCGCGTTCACCTACCCAAGACTGCCCTTAGTCCTTCCGGGCTTGCATTGCATTCAAGAGAGTCATTGCATTCAATCATTACGCAAGCCACATCCAGACATCTACCATTCATTCATGCATCCGATCGTCAAACCCATCCTGCATTCATAGTTTATGCGAGGTCTAAGTCCTTCCCTTATCCATTTCGGCGGATTCAGTCCCGCTCAACACCCATCCCAAGCTACTCACCTGAGCAACACCACACGAAGCATGAACCAAATATGATCCCCATTGGGGTCAACACACCGCCCCTTCCCACAAGCCTAGGTTTCCTTTGCCCTTCGATGATCCTTCGATTATTTTTCCCTTCCCTCAAGCAAAACCATGCCTTCACCTTAGTCATGCAGTCGGGGAAGATAGTTGAGTCAAACTGACCTCGTCCAAAATCAGCACTCCTTTCCGCTTTGCAAATGCTCTCAATAGTCCCGTATCCTTTCCTTCTTGGTGGCACAAGGGACCGACAGCCCTTCCCTTGCCCTCGCTTTCCACCAAGTGAAGACTAAGTTCCTTTTCGTTCGTTCCCTGACAATGTAACAGGTGAGGGTGGAGGTTAGTCACATGCCATGAAGGGGGAAGGGGTGACGGAAGGGTTAGGGGTTAGAGAGTTTTGAAGGAATGGGGGAAGACGGAGAGAGAGAGAGAGAGAGAGAGAGAGAGAGAGAGAGAGAGAGAGAGA